TAAATAATAAGAAAGTGGCGGCGGCAGATCAGTTAGAATCTGTCCCTCCTTTCAACCACTTGTGTTCTCCTGTTTCTCTTCTATTCTCTCTCCTTTCTCTCATTCTTCTTCTGTTTTGTAAACCTAAAACCTATTAGGATTCAAGACTGATTACAGTCTTGATCTTCTACTTATATAATTTGATTGCAGTGACAATATCAAATGCTACAAAATATATAGTATCTGCATATTTGGAAAAGAAAATCTAATGAACTTGCAACCAAATAGCAGTTTCTAGTTGGATTGAGATCAAGGAGTAAAGGTCACACAAGCTATGCAACATCAAATGCAGCCCAATGGTTTCTAACAGAGTTGTTACCTGCGTGAATAAGTCTGCCAAGCATGTTAAAAGATTCTCTTCTGCATCCCCCTGATTTTTATTATTTGAATAGTATTCTAGTAACTGCTCCCGAAATGGAACACAAAAATAAAGGGCCTGCATACAAAATAACCATATATGAAAACAACTCAGGAAACAGGTCTCAAAGTAAAATATAAAATGAAACACAGAAGAAGCTATGACCCATAATCTTAAGTCCACATGGTAGAGAAATATTTTGAGTGGAAGAAACATTCAATCATAACCCATTGAACATTCCTTGTACGGTTATACTGACTCCAAAGAGCCCTCCCCACCCCGCAAAAAAAATAAATAAAATAAATATGCTGGATAATATATATATTATATATATACATATATATATATATTGATGCTACAGTTCTCTTTTCCTTCTTTTCTTCTTTTTCTGTTTGGATGGTTCAGTGATGTGGTTCAGCCTTCTATAGCAATAGAGTATACAGAAAATCAATTTCTGGAGAGATTTGAGCATCCCAAAGTTACTAAAACATATGTGAGGAGAAGGATGAACCAATGGCAGCATCCAGATTTGGAAGCTGACAGCAGTTTCTAAAATCTAAATCCATAATTTCTATTTTTTATGTTTTCAAGTGAACTATTATTTGCTGTGGTAAGTTTTCTATTTTTTAGGTCTACAATTAATAATTCCCTATTTGTTTAGGCAAATATTAGGTTAAGTGATTAAGTTAATTACTATTTGATTGGTTTCTATTTTCTTTCTATTCTTAGGGGTTTCTAGGATTCTAATAAGGAGTCTGGTGCAGTTTTAGTAATTGCCAAATTTCTATTCAGTAAAAGCTTTGAAGAATTCTATATATACATGTAAACTTGGCAGAACAGTAGAATTGAAGGAAGCAATTTTTGTTCTTCTCTACAGTTTTTCATTTTTTCCTCCTCTTGAAATCAGAGTTAGAAAAACATGTAATTTCTCCTTTCCTCTGTTATTTTATAGTAGTTCACTGATACTAGAAGAAAACCAGCAACTACTCTCTGGATTTTCCCCTAAATTCGATACATACTTTGTTGGATTTTGAAGTAAGGGTATCCATCAACCTTGCTTTCTATCTACAACCCCTACATTAGTTGGGGGAAGTGACAATAAAGATATGATTAGTAAAGAAGGAAAGAAATTGTTACAAAAAAGAGTATTGGATGCACATCAAAACAAAATGAAGTGAATCAATTGAGAGAGACACACACACTCTCTCTCTCAATTGACTCACTTCATTTTGTTTTGTGAAGGCCCACTAAACATTTCTGTCCTATTAGTCCCATTCTAGCTAGCTCATCCATGACAATGTGATCCTATTATGGTCCATATAAATCTATCACATGGCAAGGTGCCAATCAACTGGTTGGTAAGGTCTCCTGCTGGTCATAGTGGAGACTTGGGATCGAATCCCACCTGCACCTGGGTTGGGGAATGGGCTACCCCCTGTTGTGTAGCCCTTCAAAAGAAATCAAATATATATATATAAATCTATTACATGACATTTAACATTGGAGCTGAAATATAGTTGTATTTCATTTAGCATTAAGGACAGTCCCCAAGGACTTCCCGCATACCCCTTGACCCATCTAATAACATTTGCAGAATCACCTTTTATCAAAAGAGAAGAGTTTTTTAGTGATACTCCTTCACGGCCAAAAAGGAGTGTCATCACCTCAACATTTGTGAAGTCTGCTGCTCCAGTTGGTCCACTGAATATCCAGATTGTATTTACAAATCATTTTAATCTTAATAACCACCATGATAAATAAAAATATGTTTAAATAGACAACTGCAACTCACAAGACTGAATTGTGAAATAATTAAGAAATTCAAAGAAGCTATAGTGCTAGTCAAAAATACTGACAAATCCAAATATTTCCTCCCATACATGAAGTACACACTCTTAAAATTTAAAGCCAGCCTCTGGTCTTACACTCAGGCATCTTAAAGCCTAGATCTTTTTTATAAGTGCTTCAAACCCTAGTTCTTCTTCTTTCTTTTTTCCATTTTCAAATCCTTCAACATGTGCAGCTACCACCCCCCCCCCACACACACACACACACATTTTAACCATAAACCTTATAACTTATTAATTTCTTTATAAAGTTTTTCCTGCAGACCTTTTCCTTAGTAATTAAGGCCATTACCCAATGTTGATCCCTCAGTTTCCTTGGTAATTCAGTCCATAAAATCCATAATATTAGCTTCAGTTGTGGGGAAACCATGGAAGACTTTACTCTGAATTCCAAAGCTGTGGTTTACTCTATATCTACAGTATAAAAAAGAAAGGAAAGAAAGAAAGAAAGAAACTTCACTTTGGTATTCCTACAACACAAAACCTTAATCCCAACTATCGGGTTGGGGATCAGGTGCACAAATCCTCTCTCGGCATTATATTCTTTCTCAAAGCAGATGAAGATGTATTATCACAATAGAAACATTTATCTGAACAGAAGAAAAAAAATGTAACCATCTAGATCTTCATCTTAAAGGTAAAACTAAGGCATTTCAGATTTTTCCAGTTCTAAAACATTGGGACCAAAGAATACATTCTACCATTTCGGTAAACAGGTGGCAAAACAAAACCTCAAAAGCACAAAAAACCATAAAAGTATAGAGACCAGAAAAATAAACACATAAGTACTGAAAAGCACTAAATTTCAACAAATCTCTCTCACAGTCAACTAATCATGTCAATACAGCATTACGAAACGCAAATTAAGCAAGTTATAATTACAAAGCTTTCAAACACACGGAGCAGAAGAATGATTACTAATTTGGAAATTCTCCAGAGATCAAATACTAATTTATATAACGAACTTCTGAAATGCATAAATTAATTAATTAATAACTCCACAACGAGTCACATGATGAAACGAGATTAAACCTCGTAAATCTAACAAGGACGAAACCTACAAAGCAAACCAGATAGGTGCAACCAAACGAATAGGAGATTAACATGGAATGGCAGGAACCTGCAAAACGCTGTTACAGTAGCAAGTGTTGCCGAAATTCTCGAGTCCGAAGTACCTCTCGCCTTCAGGGAACTGATCACCAAGAGCTTTCTCGAGTTTGGAACCCGCAGCACCCATTAGACCATCTACCAGAAACCAGCCGTCCTCTCCTTCCTTCAGCCCTGAAATTCACTCTCCATGGACGATCAGATTCAAAGCCTCCCTCTCTCTCTCTGTCTGTCTCTGTCTGTGTGTGTGTGTTAGGGCTTTGACAGGAGTATATGCAGAGGGAATAATGAAGATGAGAAGAGAGTAGTCTGTGTATGTGTTTGTACGAGAGATGCAGGGGAAAGATTTACATTGAATACCGGGAGAAAAAAGAGTACAGAGGCAGAGAGCGAAATATATCAGAAAGACAGAAACTGTGAGAAAAATGTTGGAAACAGAAAAAACAATCGTCCTCCTAAATCCTAATGCTAGCTAATATATCGCATTTTGCCATCAAAACAAAAAATGCGAATATATCACATTTATTCCGACCCTCACCGGTTAATTGTATGACAAATGACACGTGGCTACCTATTGTCTTAATCCAATCCACCCGTAGGTCCCAGTTTTATGGTGGGTCCCAATCTCATGCTAAAATGTGCAAACATAGATCATGTTGGAAAAGTATTTTGTTTGAGTAGAATTGCCCCCCTATTAAAAACTCTAAGACCGTCAACTTGGGTGGGCCTAACCAAAGCTCAAACCGATCCAACCTGAAATTTTACATGAGTTAAGCTTGGATTTTCTATTTTCTGAATAGACTTGGGCCCAAGACTTTGAGATTTTTTATTACCTAGCCCTTAGGTAGTCCAAACTTGATCCAACCTTGTCCCAACCCAAGCCCGGCCCAGCTATACACATTCATATATAAATACATATCTATCTATCTATCTATCTATCTATCTATCTATCTATCTATATCTATATATATAGATATATACACTAGCAAACTCCTCTGTGGTGCACAAGAAAAAGATGTTAGGGCTTGTTAGGCTTAAAACTTATTGCTCTATGAGGCTATACAGCCTAGGGATAGGGATGGCAATTTTCCCCATCATCGTCGAGCACTTGACCTCCCCAACTAGGCGAAGATGGGGATTAGGGGTGGATTCGAGCTGAGCCAAGCCGAATATTTTGTTATTCAAGCTCGGCTCGCTGAAACTATGTTAGGTTCGAGCTCAAGCTCAAGTTCAATTTGAGCTAGAGACTTGAGCTCAAGCTCGGCTTGGTTCAAAGCTCACAAGTTCAAGCTTGGCTCTTCTCGAGCTCGACTGAAGCCATATATTTTTCTAAAAAATAAAAATTATACATATAAAAATATTTTTTATTTTACTTACAAAAAATTAAGAATTATAAAAAATATTATTATTATACATATAAAAATAAAAAATATACATATAAAACATTTTTATTTTATATACAAAACTATAAGAATTACAAAAATTGTTTATTATTATATATAAAAAATAAAAATATTATATATAATAAAAAATATTTATAATATATATGTATATAATAAAAAAATATTTATTTATTATACTAGGCTCGTGAGCCTCACGACCCGAGCTTCATTGGGCTCGAGCTCGGCATGACTAGCAAACGAGCCTATATATCAAGCTCAAGCTCGGCTTGAAGATCATTTAAATGGAGCCGAGCCGAGCTTTTTCACAAGTTGAGCTCAAATAGCTCGTGAGAAGGTCGACTTGTGGCCACCCCTAATGGGGATAGAGATTGCCTTAGCAAGGATAGGGTGGGAATGGGATTAATAAGAATACCCGATTGGGGACGAGGATGGGGAGTGAGGTCCACACCTTGCCCCGACCCCAATTATATATATTAAATATATAATATTATCTATATTATATATATCAAAATATATAAATATATTTAAAATATTTTTTGCATTTTAATTTTTCCTTTATTTTAAATAAATACCTATTTGAAAACAAGCTTTTAATTAAAAAATTTGGGGATTCATGTCCCCCCGATGGGGAACCTATCTCTAACGGGGACTCGGGAAGCAAGCTAAATTTTTTCATCATGGGGATTGGAGTTAGAGACAAGGATTAATTTAAACCTCAAGGTTGGGGAAAGGGGAGTATGATCCTTGCCCCGAACGCGTACATTGCCATTCCTACCCAAGGGGTCATCCTCCAAACCCATAAATACAGTTTTAATAATTATGGTAATTATAAATGTAGTATCCAATACTTAAGGAAATTATTAAAACTTTCCAATTATTTATTTTAATAATTGGAATTTTTATAATTTAGCTTTCACTAAATTAAATTACCAAAATCACTAATTATTGCTAAAAAATATAGTAAATATCAAAAGTAATGAAAATATAAAAAATAAATTTATATTTATTAAATTAATTTTTTACTTAAAATTACTGAAATTTTTTAATTATCGCAGCCACACATGGAGAACATCTCATCCTCTGCATAGTATTATGCAAGGGGAGATGTTCCCAATTCATGGGGGGTAGTGTGTTGTGGGTAGACGTGGGCAGGGTTCTTGTGGGTAGGAGATCCAAACTCATGCAATATAGATTAAGAGGTATTTTAGGAGGAATTTTAGGTGGGAGAGAGAAAGAGTTTAGGAGACATTTTAGGAAGGGGTTAGCTAAGTGGTTGGGAGCATTAGATAGATAGGTAGATAGATAGAGAGAGAGAGAGAGAGAGAAAGAGTTGGAATAGGACCCTAGAACTAGAAGAGATGGTTGTCATGTGACTACATGGAAGGGCTAGGAAGGGGTAAGGGAGAAAGGAGAAAGCGGTAAGGAGAAATGAGAGAAGGTAGAGTGCAAATGGATCAGACCACAATATGAGATCTAGTCCTATTTTGGGGGTCGGTTTGGCATGGCCCATGGCCCGAGCCTACACGAGCCCGTGCCATGCCATGGGTTGGGCTGGTCTATGGGCTGGGCCTTAGGCTAGGCCATGCCGCACACCAAGCCAAGCTCAAGGCAAGGCACCCGCTCCCCGTCCAAGGTTTTTAAAATTGAACCGGATAGGGAACTGTTCTGGGGTCGAATGGTCCGAACGAATGACCCGCTTTGACAACAAAATTAGTAAAACAAAAAAGGACAAAAACTACTATCCAGGTTGATGGTTCGACCGCCTGAGTCTTAAATTCACTAACCAAATAAACAGTTTTTTGACAAAAAGTGGTTTTGAGGTGAAACGGTGTCTTGTTCCCAATTTTTTGGTTTGATCTAGTTTTGAAAATACTATCCCCAACAACCCAATATTCAATTTGATGATAGAAATGATCAAAATGATATATTGAGTATCAACCACATGGTAAATTTCTATTATTGTTAATTGAAAGATTTAATAAATTTCCATTCAATCGGACCTCAATCCCCATCCCCAACCTCGACCTCGATCGGGATTTCCTATTAATCCTCATCCCCGCCCCCGCCTCGCCAAAACAATCCCCATCCTCAACCCCATTGGGTCAGGGAAGTCAGGTCCCCATTGGGGATGGGGAAATTGTCATCCCTAAAAGTGTGTTCTAATAAATGACCCTAATAGAAACACATAAGAGTATACAATTGTTTTATATTTTAACTTTTTAAATAATTAATAATTATTCATATTTTATATACTACTTTTAATAAATTTTTTATAATACAAAAATAACAATAATTAATTTCAGTTAGGTTTATTTATCAAACTGATGAAACCAACCAACCCAATTAACTCAACCCGAGTTGGTCGGTCTTCTAGTATTTTAGGTTGGCTTTGGCTCAAAAATTTCCCAATTCAACCAAGTTGGATCAGTTCCACTTTAGCCATTTGTGAACTAACCAAAATCCAATGACCTAACCATGGATATATATTAATATTTTATATTTTAAATACAATTTTTAATATGAAAAAGTGAGAATTTTCCCATATTTCTTAGTCTAAAATATTTTATATCATAAATTTAATTTTAAAATTTATTATTTAACAATCACATTATAATTTTTAAAATTAAATTAAATTTTTAAGTTTAAATCTTTTGAATAGACTAACCAAACCAATAGTCAGTTTCAGCTAACCAACTCCCTAACTTGATCAGGTCAATTTGGTTAACCAAATAGTCTACGACCGCACTGAACCAACTCATGAACACTCATAATTTCAGCTAAATTAATAGTCTTATCTCTAATAAATAACAATAGTTTAGTCTCCAATAATTATTGAAAATTTATAGTAAAAATACACAGTTATTGAAAAAATATATATAACGAAAACTACAATAAGTACTAAAAAAATATTAACTTAGTCAATAAATAGTATAATCTAGAATAATAGTTTAATCTCTACTAAATATTAATCAATAGCTTAGAACATAAGCACAATAAATACAATAAGTACAATAAATTAAATTTAAAAGTTTCAACAATAGTAATTTAATATCCAATAATTATTGAACTTTTTTATTTTAACTATTTAAAATCTAGTTATGTTAAATATTTTGTTATTTAAAATATTTAGTTATTTAAATACTTAAAATCTTAATTGTTTATTGAATTTAATTATCCATAAAATCATAATTTATACTATGATTACATAATTTCATTATTAAATTTGTAATATATTAAATTATTATTAATTTAACTATTATTTTTCTACTTTGAAGAAATTTTTTAAATTTATTACATAATTTCGTTATTTTAACTATTTAAAATCTAGTTATTTAAATATTTAAATAATCTATAAAATGTTTAAAATTTTTTGTTATTTAAATTTTATTTATTTAAAGCTATTATATATTATTAAATATTTTAAAAAAATTAAATTGATAATTTAAATTTTTATTACATAATTTCGTGATTTATTTTGTAAAATATAAAATCATTTTTTGTGTTTTTAATAAATATTTTAAAGTTATTTTATAATTTTGTTAGAATATTTAAATAATTCTTAATTTTTTTAATTCAAACTTTCTTTGGATAGATATAGATAAAGAGTAGGGGAGAGGATAAATAGGAATTAGAGATAATTTAGGAGAGAAACTCTCTACTAAATTATAGATAATTTTGGAGATAAATAGGAATTAGAGATAATTTAGAAGATAAATAGGAATTAGAGATAATTTAGAATATAAATAGGAATTAGAGATAATTTAGAAGATAAATAGGAATTAGAGATAATTTTGGAGAAAGTGGGGGATAATGGGGGAGGTAGATTAGGAGTAATTTTAGGATAAGAGATTATTTAGGTTATTGAGAAAGTGCTTCTCATTGGTTGTTTAAAAAATGACATGGAATTAAAAAAAATAAAAAATTCAAAAAAAAGGAGAAAATAGATAAATAGCTTCTCTCAAAGGAGAGACATGCTGACATGGCAGGACCATTTTTAATATATATATATATATATATATATATATATAGATAGATAGATAGATAGATATAGAGTGAACAATAAGAAGAATTTGGATCTACTATCCACAATACACTACATCCACATATGGGAAATAATAATATTATCTAAAATTGCCATGTGTAATGCACACGCTCATTTACTAGTGTACATGTGTGTACAAATATATATTTTATCAATAAATAATGTATAAATATGTTTTAGATATGTTATATGTACTTTTATATTTAATTTATATTTTAACTTAGTTTTTAATTTTTTAAAAAATTGCAATTTGAGGCCAAAAAAGGTTTTTTTTTGCAAAAATAGCGGTACGCATAGATCTCGAAAAGTTACCTAAAATAAAAAAAACCACACCAATTAGACATCGAAGTGCAAAGTTATGGCCTCCGAAAGTTTGCTTAAATTGCGTGTGCAGCCCATGACCTGATGATCGAGTCAAACGGGTCAACCATTGAACTAATCGGGTTGAACAGTTCTTAACCAAGTCAACAGTTTTTGACAATCTGACAGATCTTAACTGAATAAGACTCGAAATCTTAATCGGGTGATGGTTCAAACGGTTTGAACGGCCAGGTCAACTACGAGTTAAAAACACAAGCTTGCCATTTGATGTTTTTTCTCTCTTTGAATTTCAGTATTTTTTTCTTTCTTTACTCTCTTTTAAACTTTTAGTTAGATGAGTTTTGGTTAAGTTAGTTTATGTAGGAGTAGGCCTGTAAACGGATTGAATTCAAATTGAATCAGGCTAGATTCGAATTTGAAACCAATTATAAAAAACAATATTCAAATTCAATTTGATATCTGACAGATATCGAATATTTAAATTCAATTTCGTATTTGATTGTTAAATTGAATATTAGATTCGATTCAAATTCGACCGATATGAGGCCTAGACTGAGTTTGCAAAGAAAAACAAGTGATTAGCTTGAGAAAAGAGGCAGGAGATTGACAACGGTAGTTGTGGGTTCCCGACGATGGGCCAAGTCTGTGTGAGTGTGTGATGGCGGCAATCGTGGGTTCCCGATGGTGCGATTACAATGGTAGTGAGCAGTGCTGGCCAGTGATGCTGGACAGTTGAGGGCCTTGAGGTGTTGAGCAGCAGTGAAAGAGATGGTAGTGGCCGATGACCGATACTCGACTACTATCACTGATGTTGTCGTAGGTGCTCGTAGCTTGCAAAGATTGGGAACAAAAAAATAGAGGGAGAGGAAGAGAAGAGGAGTGCGACTAGTGCGAATAGAAAAGATGAAGGGAGAGAGAGAAAGAGAAAAGGAGGAAGAAGAAATTAAAAGCGGGAGAGGAAATTGGTTTTTGGTTTATATCAAAAATAAAATAAAAACGGGAGAGGAAAGGAAGACTGGATGAGAGAGAGAGGAGATGGGAGGGGGTTTATCGAGAATGACAACAGGTGATATAATTGTAGAAATAAAATAAAATAAAAGTGGGAGAGGAAAGGACAACTGGACGAGAGAGAGAGAGGAGAGGTTTAGCGAGAATGATAGCAGGGGATATAATTGTAGGTGCCAACCTTTTTTCTGATGGACTCTACATGATTCCTCTTTATGACTTTAACCTTTATATTTTATTATATTTATTAATATATATTAAATGTATATAATTTATTCAAATTTTTATTGATTCGGATCAATACGAATTCGAATTTGAATTTGATAAATTAATCGGTAAAATGTATAAATTCGAATTCTACCATTCAATTTATTGAACCATTTGAATTCCATTCAATTACGTTGGATATTGAATTCTGAATCCAATTATCGAATACCGTTTACACTCGTAGTAGTAGATAAAATAAGGGTAAAATATAAAAACCTCCCCTGAGTTTTTTGACAATCTTATAAACTTCCCCTATGTTTTAATTTTAACAGAATTCTCCCCATAGTTTTGAAAAAAGTTATAAATACCTCACTTCCATTAAAGTCTGTTAACTTAAAAGAAAAATTTACTAAAATACCCTTAAATAATACCAAGTATCATCCTCCTCTTTATGAGATGTATACTTCTACATCAAGTTCAACAAGAAAAGAGCAAGCTTCTCTTTGAAACAAAAATATCTCCACAAATTCACTAGCAACATTAAAGTAGGTTTCAACAAGATTTCAAGGCAGTTGATAATCTTAATTTAGATTCCATGTTTGATTTCTCTAGTTTGTCAAGATTTTTGCTCTTGGGGATCAATCTGTGTGGAAGGCAATGTCTTTGACTTTGTTCATGTTAAATTTAATAAAACAATCCAGGTAAGATTGAGAGAAATAGGTTGGCGCTTAATAATTAATAGAACTTTGAATTTTGTTTTTATTTTATGATTTGAGATCATTTTAGGAATTTCTTTGAACACTTGGAGTACTGTCACACACATCATATGAACGCATTATAAAGATGAATTTAGTACGGTTGATGCCTTTTGGGTAGATTAAATAGTTTTGAAAAAAACTGTTAAATTACTTAAATAGTAAAAGGAATCACTTAGAACCATTTAACAGGCATTTCCACGAAGTCTCTAGACTGTGGTTCCTATTTGCCTATCACCTGAAAAAAAAAACCAGAAAATGAAAAGAAAAAATTAGGAAAGAAATAGAATGAAAAAGAAAGAGAGAGAAGAAGAATAAAAGAGACGAAAAATTAAGAAAATGTGAAAAATAAATAAAATAGAGCAAAAGGATAAAAAATGAGAGACGATTGGTTAGCTCAATTAAGACAGAGAAGTGGAAAAAACAGGGGAGGAGATTGGTTTGCTTCGGTTACCACTTTAAGGGTAAATGTGATATTTTAAGAAAATTAATGTATTACGTTAGGGTTTTCTGTCAGAAAAGCTAATAAGAGGGAGGTATATGCACAGTTTTTCAAAACTATATAAGGGAGGATTTTGTTCATATCAAAACACAGGGAAGATTTATAAGATTGTCAGAAAACTCAGGGAAGATTTTTGTATTTTACCCTAAAAAAATTAAATTGCACCGAAGGATGTTTTTATCCTTTCACATGCCACTTAACATCGGCTAACGATTTTGAACTAAATGGCAGTTTTTAAGAGTTGACATAAGTCTGTAACGGCAGTATGGCACGCGTTCGCCGTTCGGGTACCAAAGTCTGACTACCCTAAATTACATGTACATGGTACTGATTTGAAATTTACCCTTATCCAAACTTACTTACCACTCAGGTACTCTCGCACACCAACCGGGTGGGCGAACGCCCGCGAACGACGGACGAGAGAACGAGAGAACGAGAGAGAGAGAGAGCGAAGATGTTGAGCCTCTCGGCAGCTTCACCTTCGAGCGTTTTCTGTTGCTCTTCAAAATCCATCTCTACGAACGCTAAATCCTCTTCCTTCCATGGTATCCGAATTCAGCATGCTTTGCCTATTCGCATGCCCTATTCGTCGTCTTTGCGAAACCCTGCTTCGTCTGTGGTAATGATGGCGAAAAGAGAGGAAGAAATGAAGGAGATCCGAGCTAAGACCACCGAGGAATTTAACGAAGAGATCGTCGATCTCAAAGGTGAACTCTTCATGCTTCGATTGCAGAAATCAGTCCGTAACGAGTTCAAATCCAGCGAGTTCCGTCGAATGCGAAAAAGAGTAAGAATTTCCAAAGCTTCCGCTTTTTAGTGTTCCTTATTCGATTTTTGACATTCTCGTTGAATAGTTAAAACGCAAGGGCTTTGGATTGCTGCTACATTAATTGACAAGTTCTTTTTGAACTACTAAATCTTAAAGCAACTTGTAGAGAATGTTCTAGGAAAATGATGTAGAGACATGGGTCGTTTGAGTTTTGACATCTGAACTTTTTCGTGTTTATGTTGTTGGAAACCCATGACTCAATGTGACTAGAAGGAAGTCGTGCACCACGAAGAATTGAATTTATTTGGATATAAAAACATTGGCACAGTCATACTGGTGTGATTTAGATATGTAAAGGCAGTTTAGATTTTCTCACCTTACTTTCAGGTTTTGATTCATTTGAATACCAGAAGCATGCAGTCGAGCATGCTTTGGAAAGGATTTTTGATTCTCAATTTACAATTAGTTAGTTTGGCCTTTTGGGAGTTGCAAGAGCTCACAAGAATTATCTAATCATATTTCTTTCCATTTTTGTTGTTTTTTCTCTCATAAATTCTTGATCCCCTTTTGAGTTTTGAGCTTTTTTTGAGGATGGGAATGGGATATCCATTGTTTAAGTTGTTGCTTTGATTTTTTCCCTAAGGCTATGTATGGTTTGAAGAGATCAGAATGGAGGGCGAGAGAGGATTCAGAGCAGTAGGAAGATGGAGGTCTGAGGTGTTGATCGAAGCCAATTCAAGTTCGAAGAGGAAAGGACCAAAGGCAAGGTTGTACTGAAAATCAGAGAGAATAACAGGGCGACAGTGTTGGTGTCAAAGGAGGTTATAGCATGGATGAAAGGTTTCGTAGATGGGGCTATCAACTCTGGTAAGGTGAATGGTTGGAAAAACTCCATGTCAGTTCCAGGCAAGAGATATGTAACAGAACTGAATAGAAAC